TGCGGGGGGGGGGGGGTGTCAATTCCCTTTCTGGGCTCGTGAAGTGTTTTCATAAAATCACTCTGGCTTTTTAAAGTTTTTTTTCCAAAAGCCTTCTTAGTCTTTTAGCTCTCTCTCACTTTCCCCCCCAACCCCTCTGCCCATTTTTAGCTTTCATGGTTAGTCACTGACCCCCCTCTCTCCTTCAACCAGTTTTCCACATTTTCAATTTCCTGTCTTGTATTTATCAACTTTTGAACTAAATTCCTGATTTCTCCTGGATAGTACTGCTTTTGCATCATTTCAAAAGCCAGTCTGGGAAACTTTTTTTCTGCCAGCTGACACACATCTGCATAAACGCTTCTAATGGGAAACTTTTTTTCTACCAGCTGACACACATCTGCATAAACGCTTCTTAGTCTCCCGCTAAGATCATATAATTCTATGATGCACTGTGAGCTGTCCTTTAGGTCCCTGTCTCTAGGCTTCTTCTTATTGACCCCTTTTACAGAGCCCTTCTTTTGGGTCTTGATAGAGTTGCCCGGCACAGGCTCGTTAGGGCTACCCCCCTTACGACGCTTACCCCCGGCCCCTGGCATGGTGTTGCTCACCCTTTTGAGCCCCTGTTCGCTTTGTCTAAGACAGGCTTTGGACATGCTGGGTTGCTCGAGATTGGAGGCATCGGGCTCTTTATTGTTGCTCTTGAAAGCGGCTTTCTTGGTCTTTTTCACAGGTTTCTGCATCCTTTCTTCTTCTAAAAGACCAGCTGGTATATCTATCAATACACAAACAGCCTGTTTCAACACAATCCCTTTATTAGCCATTAAAAGACCAGTTAAAAGACCAGATCAGCACACGAGAGGCGATAAAGTCTTTTTTTGCAGGGAGGGGGGTAACAGCGATAAATACAGCCCCACCGCACACCCACCTTGTCCGTCTTCTTGTAACAGTTCAGGAATAGCTGGCAAGGTACTGGCTTGCCCTACCTCTGGTCCTAGATAAAACAGAAAAATGCCTTTTTGGATCTTTTGTTTCAAAAACTGCAACTGTAACTTTGTAAAACAAACCACAGCTTACCAAGATTTAACTCTGCCAAGGTGGCCTCTGACAGTTCCGGAATAAAGGCATCATCCTGTTAAAAAGCAGTTATTAACTTTTAAGTCATGACAACACTGGGCATAAAAAAATACAGCCATACACACCGATTAAAAGGCTCTTACCAACATGTTGCTCTCCATAGTCAAATTGTGAACAGCCATAAAGCACGCCAACATTTCTCTCTTTTTATAGCCCTACATTTTAAAACAATTGGGGGAGGTACGCATGGTTTGGGATGGAATGCAGGATGTTTGTTACAATGGGGTTGTGTTTTAAACCAAGAGTGAGAGACAGGGCTCCCGACAGTCTATCTTCTCTTCATTATCTCTGCTTACCACCGCAAGAAAGGGAGATACAGCTTCTACAGTAAAAGCTCCGTGTTTTTAACTGCGGCTGTGTGATAGGTCTTGGCGAGGGTCATAGGTTTAATTAAAAGCCACCCCTTTGTTACAATGGGATGTACGGCCGGAGGGCATGCTTGTGTTTTAAACCAAGCGTCAGGGACACGACTCCCAAGAGATGCTTATCTTCTCTCCCTTATCTCTGCTTACAACCTTAGGAAGGGGGAAAGGATGGGAGCGTCTGGGAGAACTCCTGAGGTTTGATTCCGCAAATCGTGTTAATTTCAAGCATGTGTGTAGTCCCCCCCACTCCGTCCCCTAGCCAGAACAAATGGCTTGAGTTGCACAGCACAGAGTGGGGAATGATAGGGACTTAATCCCCAAGTAGTTATTAACTTTTAAATCGTGACAACTCAGGGCATGAAAAATATAGCCGCACGCGCAGATGAAAAGGCTCTTACCGTCACGTTGCTCTCCATGGCCATAAAGCACGCCAAAATTTCTTTCTTTTTATAATGCTAAATTTTAAAACAAGCTGGAGTGCTTGTATGTCTGGTTTGGGGTGATAAGGAAACTTCTGGGCAAATGTGGGTAAGGATGGAATGCAGGATCCTTGTTAAACACGGGATGTAGAGCAAGGGGGGTGGTGGGGGGTGTTCTGGTTGGACAGTTTAAAAGTATTTGATACCTCTGATTGGACAGACCGGCGGGGGCAGTGGGTTGCTTGTGATCCGACACTGCTTCTCTGATCGACCAGTTGGTCAGTGTGGGTGGGGTGAGGAGACTCACAAGCCGTAGCATTTCCTAGGGCCAGAGGACGGGTGAGGATGTTCTGCTCTCTGCCGCTTTCTTTTACTCCTGGCAAACCTGTATTTCTTCACGGCTGCTAGTGCTTTTCTTTTCTCCCTTCTCTCTCTCTGGTACTAACTTTGTTCTGTTTCTTATCTCTCCTTCTGTGGTGATAGCGATTATTTTAGCCTGCCACACTTATTCTGTTTTCCTCTTCCCTTTCCTTTCTTTCCTTTTCTCTCTCTGATACTAGCTTCTCTCTCTCCCCCCTTTTCTCTCTCTCTGGTGCTAGCTTTGCTCTGTCTTTCTCTCTCTTTAGCCTGCCACTCTTATTCCATTTTTCTCTCCACTTTTCTTTCTCTGATGCTAGCTTTTTTCAGCTTTTCTCTTATGCCATTTCCCCTTTTTTTCCTCTCCCTCTCCCCCCCCCCCCCTCCCCCTTCTGTTCTGCAATGTGATTTGTCCTTTTCATATTTGTTCATTTTTTTAATTTTATCCTTTGGTTTATATGGTTGTGACAATTTTCTTCCACTATTTGATCTGAGGAAGTGGGTCTGGCCCACGAACCCCCTTTTTTCTCTTTCCCCTTTTCTTTTTAGACAGACAAGTCTGCCATGCTTATTCCCCTTTTTTCTCTCACCTTTCCTTCTTGTATTTTTAGCATCTCCCCCTGTTCTCCTGTTTCTTTTATTTCTCTGGTGTTAGCTTTTTCTTCAGCTTCACACTTATTCCATTTTTCTCTCCCCTTTTCTGTTCTTTTTAGACAGATAAGCCGTTGGCCTCCAATTTCCCTCACCTGGAAAGTACACATCCAACATGGCGCCATCCCACCATCTTGGAAACTGCGTGATAGAGGGGCCCATAGGGCGGGGTTTAGGAGGCCCCTGTAGAAGGAGGCAGGTGTAGGAGGCATCGTGGGAAGGGGACATCCAACATGGGGCCGGCCTACCATCTTGGAAATCGCCTGGTATAGGGCCCTGGGGGCATAGGGAGCATCATGGGAAGGAGTCAGACCTAGGAGGCATCATGGGAAGGGGGCGGGGCACCTGTCAAAATTGCATGATGATTAAAGCTATCGAGGTACAGACAAGCAGGCTACAGAGTCCTCACCATGCTTTGGTCCTCTTCTCTGGTCCAATCATCCTGTCACTGGAACAGCTTGAACAGCTCCCATCATCTGACAGCCAGCCCTTCCATATTGCCTCTTTCTAGGCGTATGGAGTGAGCCAAGCCCAGCGGGACTCTGAACTCAGCTGGGGCCTGGAGGTGCTATTGCAGAACAAACAGCATTCTGCTACGGCAATGTCGTGCAACACGCCTCACCCCCTTTCCCAAAGCCACTGTTCCCCACTCTCAGGATATTCACTGAGACACCAAAGAGCAGCATGGTGACCTCACATCAGCAAAGGTCTCTACTGTGCCCACCAGTATCCCTAGAGGGGAGGGTGTGAGGCCTGGTGCAAATCCCCTTGTACCTCCAGTGCAGGGCTCAGGGCAACCCCCTGCTGTCCCAGTCTCCACTCCTGCCATGCCTCTTCCCACCCCTGCTCCACTCTCTCCTGTCCCCATTGCACACCTCCCCCACAGCCCTCTCTCCTGAGGGACATGAGTTGGGATATTACCGGGGGCCCAGCATGGGGTGGCAGCAGGGTCGGGCCACCCTGCATGTACCGTGGTGGCGGGAGCTGTGGGGAGTGGAGTGATCCAGTAGCCTGCTCCGCTCTGCCACCATCTCCTAGCCGTGTCGCTCTGCTTCACCGTGGCAGCCAGAAGTGGTGCGCTCAGCCCAAGCCCCCAGAGCAATCTGGCTGCAAGAAGGGCAGCAGAGTGGAGCAGGTGGCCAGGTCACTACACTTCCTGCAGCTCCTGCTGCTGTGGTGAGTGGTGGGGGGAGGGTGTGACCTTTGCTGCCAGCCAGTGCCAGGCCCCCCGGCTAATCCCCATGGCCACCCTAGGCCCGGTGGGCTACCCTCGACACGGGAGACCATCCCATCCATAGGATGGTTGAGGCATCTGCTGCATGGCCCCACAAAGTGTCAACAGCCACTGGGGACCCCTGCCCTGCTAGGGCACTGGCAATGGCTTTAAGTTGCTATTGGCAAAGAGCTATGCCGGGACCCCCATGAAATAAGTTAATGATCTCAGGCCAGGTCTTCAGTGGTATCTAGGATCAGGACCCAAAAGGTGAAAGTAAACCAGTGTGCCCTGGTGCAGCGCACCAGTAAGAAAGGGGCCGGCTGGGATGTTGCTGGCCACCATACACAGGTAAGGTTCCCGTCCCTCCTGTTCTCCCCCGCAGGAGCCCAGCTCTGGTGGGCCCAATCCAGGGCTGCAGTCCCTGTGCAGCACAGCCACAGAGCACCCAGACTCCAATCTTGGAGCTTGGGCAGCTTGACAGCATGGTCCCTGCCCCACCAGCCCCAGGAATCCAGCAGCTGGGCAGTGCAGCCCCTGGAGATCCAGTGACTGGGCAGCATAGTGGCTCATAGTGGCAGCATAGGCTCCCAGACTGGAGCTCCCTTCCATCCCTTGTCCTGAGCCCCTCCATTCACACCCCAATTCTCTGCCCTGAGTCCTGCACCTCTCACACCTTTGCCCTGAGCCCCCCACACCTTGCCCGAGTCCTGCATCCCAGCCCTGAGCCCCATACATCTCACATCACCCCTGCCACTAATCCTATACCCCCCCCCAGGCCCTATTGTCCTGCCCTGAGATCCTCACACACACCACAACATCCTGGCCTGAGCCCCTCCACATTCCAACCCACACTTAAATTTCTTACAGGTCCTGTCGTACTGCAAGCCTCTCTAACCCCCTGCCCTCAGTCCTCTACTCTCAAGTGCGGGAGATGGGGGGGGGGGTTTGCAACACGACAGTACCTGTATGAAATTTAAGTCACTTTTGCCCCTGCTAGGACTCCACCATGCTAAATGCTGTAGAATCAGAACCAAAAGATGGTCTCTGCTCCAAAAAGGTTGCAACACCACTACCACAACAGGCTCTAATTAGCAGCCTTAGCTCAGGTGCCAAGAATCAGAAAGGCTGAGTCACCAGGGAAGTGATGGCAGGCCAGGGGATAGAGTGAGAGGGGTCTGGAGAAGTCAGGATGGCTTGAAATGAAAGCACCACTCACCCCTCCATACTAATTTCACATGTCTCAGAGGGGTGGTCCTGTTAGTCTGTAACTTTAAAAACAACAAGCAGTCCTGTGGCTCCTTAGAGACTAACCAAAATATATATCGTATCATGAGCTTTTGTGGGCAAAAGCCACTTCTTCAGTTTTTCCACTCCAGCTTCCAGCTCATTTGAGGATGTGGGTTTTGCCCACCAAAGCTCCTAAATATTTTGCTTAGTCTCTAAAGTGCCACAGGACCACTCGTTAATTTCACATGAAATGTTTTATGTAGAGATCAGTTCTGTGCTAAGCACTCCATGCAAAGTGCTGGGATCCCAGGGTTAAGGGCACTTAGGCCCAGATTTGTAAAGGTATTTAGGCATTTCTCTGTTCGTGTTGCAAGGCATGAGGTCCATTCAGATCCTTAGTGCGTAGAGACTTTGATGGTTAAGTCCAATTTTTCAAAGCCTACATACTTTTAAAAATCTCGGCTTTAGCAGCTTGCAGGATCAGGCTCTAGGATCATAAGAAAATGGGCATAGCTGAGTCTTTTTAAAGTAGCACTGACCTGAGCTCTCAGCTATTAATGCTCTCTAGAGAGCACACACACACACACAAAATCACATCCCTTTTCATTTGTCAAAAGATCCCTGGGTCTTTTCGCTTCATTTACAGTGAAGCTGAAATGAACATCCAGTCTTGTGAAGCCAACAGCTTCAACATATACTTTAGCCACCTCACCTCAAACTTCATTTGTATCCTATCTTGTTGACATCTGCTGTCCTCAGAACTGCCCTTTTAGTAGCAGAGAAAGATGGGTTTTTGTAGGACCCACCAAAACAGCAGCTAGCATCACTTCAACAGTGAAGTATGGGAATGCAAAAATAAATGATGATTATGGAGAACTCAATGCACCCAAACAGTATGAAGGCAGGTCAAATCACCTTTTCAAAAAGTGCGGCCAAATTCGGCACATATTTTAACCCCTTGAAGTAAGTAAGGAGAGAACTTGCTCTAACAGGAAATAGAAAAAAATCACCGAAGAAAAGGTTATTTACCTTGTAACTGTTGTTCTTTGAGATGTGTTG